TTTTTTTAACTTTTTTGTTTTATACTACATGGCGTCCTACCACCCAACATCGTGGCTTTACAATGTACGTACAGAGTAAAATCGGTATAATATTTATATTATATAAATAAAATAAGTATCACTGATCTACAGTGATAAATAGAATAATTAAATAATTTTCGAACACCTAATGCGTTGTATATGTCATTTACATCCAGATGTGAACTAAACAGGCTGGTAATAAAGAAAAAATACTACTGGTTGGCAATTATATAAAAAAATTACAAGGTTTTAGACGATCACTACTATCTGAAAAAGAGTGACAACATTGTAACCATTTAAGCTGTCTAAGCTAAATTCAATTAGAAACGTAATCTTCTAAAGTACTTTTAATCTGGGTTAAGCCGACACGCTTGCAGTGTAATACACTTTGTAAGAATTAGTACCTTTTAAAAGCAACATTGCTTTTCAAACAACATATATTTCCTTAATTTCCAGATTATTTCTTTTAAAACCCAACAAGTACAAACATTAATACAATTGGTTTTCTTAAAGAAAGTGTTTGTATGTTCAGAAGGGCTATGCGCTAATCATATCATGCAAGTCACTGTGTAGGATATTGCATCGTTGTTTTATGAAACCTGGTAGCTTTTACAGAAAAGTTATAGCAATGGTAATATAAATATTGTTGCGCGCCTAAGTTGACGTCATGTACGCGGCACTAGCGCCATCTAGTGTCGGGGACGAGGGCGAGGGGAGCTTTCCCGAAAATGACATGACTAGTCATTCAACTGACAGCGCCGTCTAGTATCGAAACGAAGAACTAAGCTTCTAGAAGCCGACACTCGAACTTTCGACGCCTTGTCGATTGCTAATGTGTATTTATAGGCGCTGCAAATTGCGATCGGGGAAATATTGAATTTGGCGAGACAAGCGAAGCTTCGGAGCGAAATAAAGTGAATCAGTGTGGTTAATTATTAGTGACTTTTAAGTTTTAATTGGTGTTCGGTAATAAAAGTGTTAATTTTGGTAATTCAATCGGCAGTTTTTATTGTCACGAATTTCATGAGAAGCATCTGTTCCTCCTGTCGGCGGGCCTGTTCTTCCTGTCCGCCCCGCAGCTGCTCTTCCAACCGACGGACCTGTTCCTCCTGTCGGCGAGCCTGTTCCGCCTACTGATCTTCTAACCGACGGGCCTGTTCCTCCTGTCGGCGGGTCTGTTCCTCTTGTCCGCGCTGCAGCTGCTCCTGTAGCATCGCCATCAGAGCACCTAAGTCAGGTGCTGCAGATGTAGGAGCTACTGACGGGACCGCAGCCTCCGTGGCTGGCAGTTGGCCCTCCGACGTCTGCGGCGTTGCACCACCAAATCTCCTCTGGTTATTTCGATGCTCCTCTACCACTGTGTCTGAGGTCCCTTGACGGCCGCACAACTTGTACATGTACTACACCAATCCTCGACATCATCACGATAATGGACCCAGTAAAACTGTTCTTGGACCTTCAGTAGAGTTCGTTTAACTCCCAGATGGACTCTTGAACGACCATTAAGGCACAGCTGTAGAACATTCGGCACTTTAGCTTTAGGGATAACCATTTGCAAACGACAGCTGTCTCCTCGACCATTGTCCCATTTACGACACGGGACTCCATCCTGAATCAGCAAGCTGTCCCATTGGGCCCAATAGCTTTTAGTGGTCGATCTCATCGCTGAGACGTCGCTGAGTGAACGTCGCTGAGACGTACAGAAAATTAAAGTGTTAATTTTGGTAATTCAATCGGTAGTTTTTATTGTCACGAACCTCAAGCTCGTAACAAAATTTAATTAAATAGAGATTAAGATTATAAATAATACTAATTGAAAGTCACTTTTATGTTTAATTATGTTTTAATTATATATTTCAAACGATGCGATGTACTGCAAAATGACTATCATTTTAATGTCAATAAAGTTATCGAATAGGCATGCGGGTCAGGTAACATTATTTATTAATTTATTTATTTCAAAACCAACAGCGTATACAGAAAATATTTAACAAACTTAAAGTATGGCCAATAACAGGTTTCCCTTATATTGCTTGATAGTATATTGTTGTTGGAAGAAATACAACAAAAAAACAATCCAAAAGACAAATCATAAGCAATTTAGTGTAACGAGGGTCACAAGCTTACAATATGTTGAGTTCTTTGGAGGGTCTGGTAGATTTATATAATAATAAAAGAACATAAATTCATATACATACACACATACGTATATACAAGCATACATACACACACACACGCACACACACACACACACACATATATATATATAAAAGCAATTAAGCATAAATAAAATATTATTATGATTAATTTTACTGGCAGCCAAAAATACATATTAAAGCAAGAAAGAAAAGAAAAGAGAGATTATAATATATAACATAGCATTATCACACCAATTCAGAATATCTCTCTATATATTTTTACATTTGTATTAATTTTTAAATACTTTAGTCAAATAAAATAACATAAATTACATTCCGTTAAAATACAAATACATATTATTTGAAAAACTTCTGAAAAATAGAACATAATTAATTGCCAACAAACCAAGTTTGACATTGATTCAGAACTAAGTTTATTCTAGGAGCAACTATCCTTGACGTCGTTTAATGTACCTTGAAATTTAGATCCACAATGAAGGCAGAATATTAATGAATTTAATATGAATTTTATAGCATGTAATCGACTAAAGCAAGTATTAACATTTGGCGTTAGAAAACTTCTACCTAGGAGTCCGACTATGATAGTACCACCCTGTTACTTGTTTCTGCTGCCAAACAGCAATGCTCACCGTTGTACTTTATTATTAGTGGCATAGAGAGTATATTTACAGGTTGAGAGGCTTTCTATTTTAGTCCTTAGAGATGACAATGTATCTGCAGGCTTATTTGTTTTAGGTTGGCTAAACCATGTTCTTCAGTAGCTTTTTCAGACTAAAATTTTGTTTTTCATTTAAATTGTATATACCAATAAATGACTTTCTACTTAGTATTAATACAAAATTGCAGAAATTAAAGTCGTGGAAGCAATATTATAATCCAGTCGAGAAGTGCGTTTTCTGCGACAAATCGTTCCAATTTTCCTAAATATGTGAGCTATGATTTATGAAAGACGTTTTATTTTTTCCTGCTATTGTTATTAACAACAAAAAAATGAGATCCATATTTTTAGTAATAATTCAAAAACTATAAGGAATAATGAAAATAACAAAAACGATCCTTAAAGAAGATGATATTTGCAAAAAAGAAAAAAAAACTACCGACATCCGGAACTCTATCTTAATTATTTATAATTTTAATTTAAAATGAAAATAGTGCTCTGCGAGGTCGTTACGACAGGCGCGCATCGCCGCCAGAGAGAGTTATACCGGATAAAAAATTATAACGTATAATGTTGACCTGGATTGGTTGACACCTGGGCACTTGAAATAATAAATCGTCATTGGAAAAAAAATTATTAAAAAAGTTGTACAACTGTTAACTAACCATTGAGCTATATGTACTATGTACTAGAGAAGCTATTCCAAACAAAAAATGTGCACTACTCTGTAGCCGATGCGCGGGAAACAGTAGAGTCGGAGTTTTGGCGAGAACTTGGCTGTAGACGGATTGTCGCTCCTGTTTTGTCGCTTGAATAATGGTTTGAAGTGGATTTTGATTCGTAAAAGTGATGCGATTTTGTGAACTGAGTGTCCGCGCGTGTGTACTATTAGAGAAAACGACGAAACAAGTGCTTTGATGTCGATATAAACCTCAAGTTATTTTGATCGCTTGGGCGCCTCATGAACTTGAGTGGCTGTCGTCATCAACTATCCGCTAGGTTGAGCTGTCGTCAAAATCTCCCAAGGGCTTCGCAATGTGACGCATCAGCATATTGTGAAAAAAAAAGAACGTAAAATGAAGATTCCAAAAGAAAGGATAGGCTCAGAAGGTCTAGAAACCAGAGCCGTAAAGCCAGTTAATAAAGAAAAAGAAAAACAGTAGTCGCGCATGCGCAGTTTATATAAACGCGCGAATATTGTCATAATAAATAATTGTTTATTTAGATTGTATTGTTAATCAAGTATATTTTTTTGATTTTCGTTTATTTTGCATATGTGCTATTTTTAATATAAAATTATTATTAACGGCGCTCCACACTGCATGAATGTCGAGGCGACAATAACAGGTGTACGGTTTGCAGTACAGTTCAGTTGAACGTAGTTCGAGTGATCGGAATGCCAAATCTAGTGCGTAAGTACCATTGAAGTAATATGTACTTACGTACTAGAACAGCTATCCCAAACAAAAAAATGTGCGCTACTCTGTGTTCGCGCGGTTGGTTTTTTTATCATAGAATAAACATAGGTAGAATGACCCGTAGGTAATAGTAGATTGTATTGTTAAATAGGTAAATTATATCGAGAATAATATTTAAATTCTGCCATTTATTTTGTATATTATATTTGATTATTTAATATAATATTACATAATATTATATCACAATTACATTTTAATGATATTTTTATCTGAATGTTTTAAAAGTTATCTATGTCAAATATAAAAAAACCTACTACTTGAATGTATGTTTAACAAAACTTATTAACATAACATTTAAATTACAAATATATTTATTTAAATTAGAATAAGAGTCGTTCATAAATGCTGGGTACGCGAGAGTTAAAAATGGACGAATTTATACCACTTTGACTTTGATGTGGTAAAAGTTTTACCTATTTTTAGTTTAAAATGAAAATCTTTTCGAGCAGCGTGAAAAAATGAATGTCAATTGAATCTAAATTTTATAAAATAACATTACTTTTAATATAATTTATTACTTTTAATATACTTTATTCTATATTTTAATAATTGAAAATTAATCTTTTTACTAACATACTTCGTAAATGCTATTTTATTGTCATTGCGTTTCGGAGCAAAATACTCTTATTAGTTTGTGGTTGTCACTAAATTGAACTATTTTTGTGTGATTTAAATAAAATAATAATGGAAATTCCTGTGGTGAGTGGAGCTATTCAAGTTATTTAATTGTTACATCTTGATTTCTTTAATTTTAGTACCTAATAAGTTTGTTGATTATTAAAATATATTCATACTTCTGTGAGCAAAGAAATTAAAAAAAAAAGATTTCAAATGTACATTAAAAGTTTTACCTATTTAGTCTAGTCTTCATTAAAACTAATTTTAGATATATTTTTTTGTATTTCAGCAAAAAAAAAACACGTGTTTCCTACGAGCAACGTGAAAAAATGTTTCAATTCATGGTGGCGCATCCCGATTTTGCCAGAAATCGGGTTGCAGGCGCAGATGCTGCCCGTAGGAATATAAAACTGCAGACTGAACTAGCCACAATTTTAAACAGCTGTTCCACAGGAGCAACAAAAAGCTCCGATAAATGGATAAAGGTATGTCTGTGTTTAGGTACTACAAATTCATACATATTGTAGTGCTAGTCTAGTGGATCGCTTAAAGCCAACTTTGTTATGTATGCCTACAAATGTGCATTCTAACCTTTATTAATACAAATATTTGATAGTGTTGGCAAGACTGGCACAGCGATGTTAAATCGAAAGCTGCCAAAATCCGCCGTGCTCAGCAGCAGACTGTTGGAGGGCCTGGAACTGCACCCTTATCTGCCATGGAGGAATCTCTAATGGCATTTATTGGCCACGAAGCAGCAGAGGGCCTTGCTGTTGCCGATACCTTAGAGGTACTACAAATTCATATTTAATTTTTAGGATTCAATACTCTCCATGCTTCCTTTCGATTTCATAAAAAAATTGAGCTCTGTAGTGTAACTTGTATTTGTACCAAAAAACAAATATTTATTACAAAAATTAATAAGTTGCTAAATGTATGTTCATAGTTATTCAAAATTTACTATTAAATATCTAGCACTAGAATAAACTCATTCTAAAGAAATGTGCATCTGCATATTCTTGTGTATACACAACTGATAGAGATCCCTAACCCCATTTGTTAGTGAGAGAAGTAGGAAGGATATTATACAGTTTAATTTCGTACTGTCTTTACAGATTCCTGAAAGTGATGCAGAAGTAGAAGCTGGTGGTGACGAAGATGTCCACAATCCGGTTGTGGATGATAGAAAAACAACGAAAAAACGTAATTATATTGAATACTTTTTATTGTTTAGTTATTATTTCATGTCTTAATATGTTGTATGTTGTTGTAGAAGATAGACTTGAAGAGTGTCTAGAAGTTCAGGCTGCAGCTATGAATACGCTCTCACAGTCAATGAATAATTTGGCTGCAGCTATAAATAATTTTGCTGCAGCCCTCAAATCCATGGCCAATAAAAGTGATGAATGAAGGTTAATCTAAGGTAGGTCAATATAGTTAAATAATTGTGATTAGTATGAATTATTTAAGTTTAATTAAAAAAGTAAAAGATAATAAACAAATAATTATTTATAAATTGTTATTAATAAAATAATCTTTCTATTAATTGTTGTCGCACTTGAAGGCCCTGCTTATATATTTGTATCTCTATAATTATCTGCTGTACTCGCGTGTGGTGCTAAAGCTTCTTCATCAACTATGTCGGGAAAACTAAGTCCTGCTGTTATGCACACATTGTGTAAAACTGCACATGCGTTTACAATGCACCTACTTTTATTGGTTCATACTCCATTTTTCTTAGTAAGCATCGAAACCTTGACTTAAGAACACCGAAACACCTCTCAATACTGTTCCTTGACCTTATATGGGTATTGGTATATCGACTTTGAGGTGTGTTTTCTTCAGCATTAAGAATCGGTGTGAGGAGCCATGGCTCCAAGGGATATCCGGAATCACCTGTAATTCAAATAAACAACTAGAACATTACAAATACTGTTTTAATTGAGATTATTTGTTTCAGATTTATCGAAAATATTGTTTATTGCAATACCTAGAAGCCAGCAAGTATTGCCTTCACAATTAAGGTTCATCATCACCTTTCGTAGTGCACTAAACCTCCATATAAAGGAATCGTGTGTTGCACCAGGATATCGTGCACACACATTTTATATTTTTAAGGAACTGTCACAAACCTATGAAAAGCGAATTAAATTAGTACACAGTTTAGGTCACTTGCATAATTAATATACAGAAGTCATAATGATCTTATTATTAAAATTCAAAACCAATGTCCTGAATTTTTGTAAGGTATTTGTACTTAAATATAAATGACACAGTTCGGAGGGATCAACAAAACAGAGTGTAGCCATGTGGTGAAATCTAATGTATTTACCATTTGTGCATTAAGGGTGTGTTCACCCTTTCTATTTACATAAAGTTCTTCATGTTGTGTTGGCTTCTTAAGTTTTATATGTGTGCCATCAATATAGCCCAATACTCCAGGAATTCCGAATTTTTGGTAATTTCTGCAAATGAAAATAAGACTGATTGTGATACTACCTTCTTAGACATTCGAAGGATAAAACTATGTGTGTTAAGGCAATTAGGTTCCTACTTAGGAGATAATTGTTATTTTTTTTAAAAGATTATAGTTATAGTTTTTAAAATTTTAATAATTTGTTGTAATTTCTTATTTAAATGTTGACATGTTAAAATAATAAACCATTTATGTAATATGAAAGTATTTATTATTTATGAAGTTTTCTGACAAACTACTTGTAAACATATTTATGTCCCACCGCTACTTATGTGCACAACCTTCCACAAAGGGGTCTAGCCTTATATCTCACTCTTAGCTGCTTTGGGTATTTTAGGAAGACGGCACATACTGCTGCTGTCTGTAACCTGGTCAGTCCCTTAGTTGCCTACTGAATGAAAACCACATGGATTACTTCGAGATGGTAGCAGGTTTTTTATGTGGTTTTCTACGCTGCAGCTGCATTATAGTTGTAGCATGAATGCGTCGGCTCGACCAAGGCAGGACCACACTCGTAGAATACCAGCATAATCCGCCATATGTACTTTTTTGTGCATGAAAGCATAAATAAATAAATAAATAAATAATGCTGTTGTGTTTTGTATGGTGAGTGTAGAAAATTGGAGACCCTTTTTTACTGGAATTAAGGCATTCCAAATTAGTCCTCAGCGGTGACAACACATTTACATTTTGATACTTAATTGAGAATAAATGTCGATGTCTATGAGCCACGGAATCCACTTACCATTACATAGACTGTGTGCTTGTGTGTCACCGAATGCAATTAAAATAAAGGTACCTAATTTAAATTTGCATCGGGAAAGATCACCATATTTTATGAATTTTAGTTTTTTATTGATACATATATTATGCTTGATAATACCTACCTACAGATTCATATGAATAAGTATGCTATAGGTACCTATGTCATTTAAATTTTGAGATTTACCTTAAAACAGTTGCTTCCATTTGAGGACGACTTGGAAAATTAATCCATTTTTTGATTATTTGAGGCTGATTTAGTGCGGCCACTGCCTCTCTAATGGCTCTGCTGGAAGTAGGCTGGCTTACTTTGAAGTCCACATCCTTTGTTAAACTTTTTGGATAGGAGCCATGTGCGAAAAAATGTAACGCGCAGAGGAACTAAGTACAAAAAGAGAATTAAAATAAGTAACAACTTAGGTACGGTACTGAGTTTACTATCTAGATACCTATTTACCTTTAGTTCTACAGGAAGTGAGCTTGAATATTGATGTTGTTGCCAAACAGGCTTTAAATCATTCACAACAGCCAAGGCCAAGTCCAGGGTGAGTCGGTAAGTCGAATGGAAGTTTGGGTCCTCATACGGATTCGACAAATCGCGAAACCGTTTGTTTCGGATCATTGTTTGCATCCGTAGCTTCTCTTTTTCGTGGTTGCGGACTCGCCTATGAAGAATTAATGCTACTATGCCTGACATTGCTTATATCTATAAAATTAGTGATAGAAAACTTATAAAAACACACCATTCTTCCAAATGTTCACAAAAATACAGTTTTGCAAATTAAGTGCAAATATTAAAATAATTATATGAAAATATGTTTTATACATAATTGCAATTAATTTGTGTTACGCATCTTATACTTAGAAAAGCTTATTTATCTCTTATAATTATCAATATTTAAGTTTTCGCCAGCCTCAGGGGTCTCGTAAAGTTTCCGATGCGAACTGTCACAATTCCCGAAAACGAATGTCAAATTCATCCGAACTGCGAATGTGAATAGCATTTTATTGTTTCCGTTCGAAAAGTTATCGAATCCGAGTCGATTTCCCTTTCCGAGACGATTGTGAATAGCGCTACTGCACTCTTAAAAGTCCTTAAGTTACGGTTTGTTTTATAATAATAATAATAATAATCCCCCCCAAGGGGTGAACCTTGTCGCGGTGGGGGGGCTTAAAGAGAGCAGACACTAGTACTAGATCTGAAGATCTTGATCTAATACCCCAAGCGGGAGATACCAAACATTTAATACCAATAATATCTGGCCAACTCTCTCTCTCTGAACTAATCATTCCCAACACAAACCCACTAATGGAGCACAGTAAAAAGATATTTTTGGAGAATTTACGGCCGCTGCCCGGGGGTCGCCGGGGCGCACCTGGAGCCGGTGCTGGGTGCTACAGTTCGCGGGACACCGGTGGCGAGACGCTGAGCAGGCGGGCGTCCGTCACACAAAATGCTACAGCCGGGCGCCGTGAGTTGAACAAGCGGGCTTGCGGCGTTGATGCTACAGCTGAATCTTCAAGCGATGATACCACACCAACAACATCATCTGTCGATTTCAATCCCTCCGAGTGTCTGACAAGTGAAACATCCAACTTGTCTTCACCAAATAGGACCGACAGTGTTGTGCAAGATGTCATTAATGACTCTGAGCTTGCACCCACTAGCGGCGTCTCTAAAACGCGCAGACGATGGACACATGAAATGAATGTATTTATACTGCGCACTTATCTTCAGCTAACTTTCCTTGATACTGATACCAAAAATTACCTTCAACCACTACATCAGAAATTTGTAGAGAAATACCCAAATATGCTAGTAAGCCGTCAAAGAGTAGGAGACCAACGTAGAGCTATAGTCCGCAATAAACAGATATCACAAAAAATTATAGATCAGATTTATAAAGATGTAAGAGAAGAGTTATATCATCATGCTAGACTCCCAACCACTCATGAAACACAACAAGAAATTTTAGAAACACATAACACACAAGCGCGAACTAAAATGAGACGGACAAAGGAACAAAATGAGACTTTAATGAGACTGTATTAAGAAAGAAAGAAAGAAAGAAATGCATTTTATTCAAGTTCAAACATGCAGCATAACAAGCAAAAAGTAGATATAAGCCAAAAGATAAATACAACTAAATTAAAAGTAACTTAACATTATTATAAATTTAAGAAAATATTTTAAAAATACCCTGTGCTGCAGCATGAAACTGTGAAACGGACCGGACTCAGTGATAGCACTGGTTTTCAGTCCAGCCCTTACCCAGAGGCAGCTCGGGCGGCTGAGTGCATGCTCGCTCTAGATGCCCGAAAATTCATAATAAACTATAAACATATACATATGCATACCCATACCTATATATAATTGGACTGAAAGCGGATTTATTATTTATTTTAACTTTCTGGTAAATTCATTCACCGTTACTTTAGTAATAAAATTACTACATTAAATAATTATCATAGTTATTTTACCTGGATACTACGTCTTAACCAACATCTTTTTGTTCATTGAGTAGAATTTCAAAATTTCAAAAATTTCAAAAATCTTTATTTCACAACACAATGGTTTGTAACTGTAAACAGAGGTTGGGACCATCCTATTAAGTAATAATAATACTTGTGCCAGGTGGCCCCGCTCTTCCTTACTTTGCTAAATATCTTTAAATGTGTTTGTGAAGACAATTTGGAAAAACACTTATAAAAATAATTAATGTTAACATTAGTTTAGAGTGAAAAACAAGGCAAAACAACAATCAATACTTTCAATTTACATATTACCTGAAATAGATTAATTCTGAATTTCAATAAAAAAGCATGAGAGCGTGTTCGCACGCGCGCACGCGCGCTTGTGTGCGTGCGTGTGTGTTTGCGTGCGTGTGTGTGTGTGTGTGTGTGTGTGTGTGTGTGTGTGTGTGTGTGTGTGTGTGTGTGTGTTTGTGTAAAAATATATGTGTATTGTGTGAGTATGAATGTGTAACTTCGTATAAATTGTCACAGTTCTCGTTCACCAAAACCTATTTCAACATATCAACATAATAAATATAAAATTAAATCAATTAGCATATTGCAATAAACATTCTGTGTCGTTATATGTTTTAGTATATAAATACTTTGTAACTATTTGTTTACATTTGTATGTGTTCAAGTGATATAAATCCAAATCTTTGTTCAGCCTATTGTAGAGATGAGCAGATTGCGATAAGAACTGACGCTGAGCAAATTTGGTTTTTACGTATCTAGTTACTGCTACCCTATCTTTTCTTCTTCTCATCATTATTTCAGAGTTAAAAGGCAAAGATTTGTGTGTCCGTAAAACTATTGATAGAATATATATCTGTCTTATTGAAAGAAGCTCACACAACTTGTAAAGTTCTTCAGTTGGAAAACGAAATGGTTTAAAATACATAACTTTGAGTAAACAACGCTGACTTCTTTCGATTTCTAATAATTTTGTTTTAGCTGCACCTCCCCAGACTGAGATACAGTACCCTATTATGGATTGTGCTAATGCAATATATATTTGATTTAGTAATTTTTTAGAGGTGACATGTCTTAGTTTCCTAAATATCCAAATTAATTTCCGTATCCTATTACTCGTATATTCAACTTGAGAGTGCCAGTTCAAGTGTTGGTCTAGAACAACTCCCAAATACTTTATAGATGCAACCTTATCGATAAATGTACATTTACAGTTAGAACTATTAGAAATACCACAATAATGTATTTTTAAACTATTGTTATTATTTGGTTGCGTTCTATTACTAATCGTAAAGCATACATATTTAGTTTTTGCAATATTTAAGGAAAGAAGGTTACTCTGGAGCCATTTTGAAATTATTAATAGACCAGATTCAGCATTTCTAAATACCGAGTTCCAATTATTTCCCGTAAAAACTATTGCGGTGTCATCGGCATAAGAAAATACTCGACCGTCGACTAAATTTAGGTTAGTTAATGTATTAATATAAATAAGGAACAGAGTAGGACCCAGTACACTTCCCTGTGGAACACCAAAAGTAAGCGGTGATTCTTCACTAATGTAGTCACCTATTTTTACTTGTTGCTTACGTTCCCTCAGGTAATCCTTGAATAAATTCAGCGGGATGCCCCTTACACCGATTACTTCCAATTTCCGCACAAGGATCGAAGAAGAAACAGTGTCAAAGGCTTTCTTAAGGTCTAAAAATATAGCCAAACATTTACGGCCTTGATCCAGTTGTTCAGTTATATGAGATGTTAGTGCTACAACTGCATCTTCTGTCGACTTACCGCGTCTAAACCCAAATTGGTTATCTGAAAGAAGATTAAAGCTTTCAAGGTAATTGATAAGTCGTTTATTTATTAACTTTTCTATTATTTTAGAAACGGCAGGCAAAACTGAAATGGGCCTGTAGTTATTGACATCATCTATTCCTCCACCCTTGTGCAACGGAATCACTAAAGATTTTTTGAGATAAGACGGAAAAATACCCTTTTGGAAGCAGAGATTAGTCAAATGACTTATCACGGGAACTACGAGGGATTTAGAATACTTGAGAAACTGAGTAGAGATATTATCCCAGCCAGGTGCACTATTTGACTTAAGATCTGACAAGATATTTTCAATTTCTAGTGGATCAGTTTCTAATAAGGCAAATGATGATGAATGTGATTTAAGCCTATGTAGGCTGTCAGGTCCGGGAGAGGTGTCATATTTTTGGATATCCTCAGCAAGCTTTCTACCGATATTTGAAAAATAGTCGTTAACATAGTTAACTGAATCATAGGGGCTTAATTTAATATTTAGTAAATCAGAATTTATGGTCTTATTAGGTTTTAGATTTGTTATTTCTTTAATTGTTTTCCAAAGTATTTTTGAATTCTTATTTGCTTTATTTAATTGTTCTCTCTCAAATTGTCTTTTAAGTTTTTTTAGTAGGTTGTTACAGAAATTTCTGTATCTTTTATAGGTAATTACTAAAATTACATTGTGAGGATCCGAACGCAGTTGCATTTGCAATTTATTTCTGTTTCTAATGCACCTTAAAACACCAGGTGTAATCCAAGGTTTAATGGTGCGTTGTGATTTTGGCTTTCTTTTTGTAATTTTACTCTCTGTTAAGGATTCAGATAAGCTTTTTATAAGTTTTTCGGCAACTACATTCGGGTCGTCACAAAATAATAATGTAGAGATATTCTTCTGCATTAATATTGAGAGCGCTCTTTCGTAGTCTACAAATTCTACTATTTTCGATACGTTTTGCTTTTGTTTTATTTTACTTAATTTCAAAAAAAATTGTTGAATGATCAGTAGTACTTGTATTTAAGATTGCTATATGCGAAGAAAATTTTCTTTTGTCTAATTTTAACATAAAATGGTCTAAACAGCTAGCGCCTCTAGTCGGTAGAGAGTGACCAGGTAGCATTCCATGAGTTGACAACATATTCAAATAATTATCCCTATTATTAGTTTCATTCGATCCTTCGTTTTGCTTAGGAATTAGGTTTATATTAATATCACCCGTTATTATTATGTTACGACAGGACTTTATTGTGTCCAAGTAGAAGTAATTTATATTTGTTTTTAAAACTATTAATCGTTGTAAGGCTACGTAAAGGAGGTGGCAGATTGTTCCAACACTTTGTTGCATTGTATTTAAAACTACCTCTGAATGCAGTTGAGCGGCTAAAAGGATATACTAATTTTTG